GGTGTGGTGTGGGGTGGGGTGAGGTGTGGGTGGTGGTGGGGTGTGGTGTGTGGTGTGGGGTTGGTGGTGTGGGGTGAGGTGGTGTGGTGTGGTGGCGGTGTGTGGTGGTGGTGTGGGGTGGTGGTGGTGTGGCGTGGTGGTGGGTGTGGGGGGTGGTGGTGTGGGGTGGTGGTGGTGTGGGTGGTGGTGGTGGCAGGTGGTGGTGGTGTGGGGTGGTGGTGGTGTGGGGTGGTGGTGGGTGTTGTGGTGGTGTGGCGTGGTGGTGAGTGTGGGTGTGGTGGTAGTGGTGTGGTGGGTAAGTTGGGTTGGTGGTGGTGTGGGCTGGTGGGGTGGTGTGGGGTGGTGGTGGTGTGGGGTGGGGTGGTGGTGTGGGGTGGTGTGGTGGGTGGGGTGGGGTGAGGTGGTGGGTGTGGTGTGGGGTGGTATTGGGTGGGGTGGTATGTTGGTGTGGTGGTGGGGTGGGTTGGTGGTAGTGTGTGGGTTGGTGTAGTGTGGGTTGGGTGTGGTGGTGTGGGGTTTTGGTTTGGTGTGGGGTGGTGGTGGTGTGGCGTGGGTGGTGGTGTGGGGTGGTGGTGTTTGGGGTGGGTGTGGTGTTGGTTGGTGGTGGGGAGTGGAGTTGGTGGGGGTGGTGGGGTAGAGGTGGGGTGTGGTGTGGTGGTGGTGGTGGTGTGGCGTGGTGGTGGTGTGGCGTGGGGTGTGGTGGGGTGTGGGTTGGTGGTGGTGTGGTGTGGTGGTGTGGCGTGGTGGTTGGTGGGTGGAGGTGGTGGTGTGGGTGGTGGTGGGTGGGATGGGTGTGCTGTGTGGTGGTGGTGTGGGGTGGTGGTGGGGTGTGGTGTGGTGGGTTGTGGGGGTGTGGTGGGGTGTGTGGGATGGTGGTGAGTGTGGCGTGGTGGTGGTGTGGTGTGGTGGTGTGGTGTGGTGGTGGTGTGGGGTGGTGTGGTGTGGCGTGGTGGTGGTGTGGCGTGGTGGTGGTGTGGGGTGGGGTGGTGGTGGGTTTGTGGTGAGGTGTGGGTGTGTGGGGGTGTGGTTGGTGGTGGTGTGGTGTGGGGGTGGTGTGGGCGTGGTGGTGGTGTGGTTGGTGGTGGTGTGGGGTGGTGGTGGTGTGGGGTGGTTTGAGTGTGGGATGGTGGTGAGGTGTGGGGTGGATGTGGTGTGGCGTGGTGGTGGTGTGTGGTGGTGTGGGGTTGGTGTGGTGGTGGGGTTGGTGGTGTGGGGTTGGTGGGGTTGGTGGTGGTAGTGAGGCGTGGTGGTAGTGTGGGGTGGTGGTAGTGTGGGGTTGTGGTAATGTGGGGTGGTGGTAATGTGGGATGGTGGTAGTGTGGGGTGGTGGTGTGGTATGAGGTGTTCACGAGACTGGGTGGTTCATAATGGAGGGTAATGGTAACATCATCATCATCCTCAAGGTTAAATCTATAGTAGTACTAGGGGATACTAATATTGATCCGCGGTGGGGGGCGTTTTTGTACGAGTTTAAATATACAGTTAATAACCGAGTAGGACGAGTTGGACTCTTGAAGCGTGTTTGTTAACCTGTCAATTGGTGCTCTCTTTTTAACAGGTGCGTTTACACGATTCATTATTTATTGGTCATGTTTAAATTTGCATGAAGGTGTGAAATTTTGAATCGACTGAATAGAATTTTTCATGTATAATCATTAAGCAATCTTATATTTGTCCTTATTAAAAGGCTATGCATAATAAACGTAGCCTGGAGCACATGCTTATAAACTTTACAATCTAGGAGAAAGATGCCACACCAAAGCAAGTCATTGATTCCAGCTGGTGGCAGAGTTTAAATTAATGCACTGAAAGATTGATAGAGCGTTGCTCGTTGTATTTTGTGAGGGTGACACTGTTTCCTGACAACTCAATATATATAGTAAATCAATAAGGAACAATAATTCGACTTTGTATGAGCATTGTGAATAATATTTTATTCCTCGTATGCAAACTGAAGATAAGGGGAAGTGTGTGTGTGTATGTGTGTGTGTGTGTGTGTGTGTGTGTGTGTGCGCACACAGGGTGGTGTAAAGCTCATCAACATGAAACACTTAGTTACAGTACAGTACTGTACTGTACTGTATTTCAGTTGCTGTCGAAAGCTAACGGAGTACAGTAGTTCCATTTCAGTTCAATAGTATTTATACAGTCGTTAATTCCTGTCATCCCCTTGAATATAATGAATAACTCATTATTAGCTAACAGGTTATAGTTCAGTCACTTGAGGTCGATGATTGGACAATTCCTTCAGTATGGTGACAGCTTCTACAGTATGGTGACATTGGGCAAGGAAACTACTGGTTGGTCGGCATAAGCTCGTGCTTTAACGAAATACAGAAACACAGAATACAGTATGAGGCCAAATGGCCAAGTCATCGTTCTTTCTCGTCCAACCTTTTTTCTATGCAGTAATGTTTAAGATTACCAGTACTGTACTGAGAAAAAAAAGGGGGTTTGAGGCTTCAGAATGTTGTTTAGTGGTGTGAGGTAGAAGCATCTGTGGCCTCGTTAGGTCGCGTTCCACCTTCTTCATGGATGACCCTCTGGCCCGCGATTCACACAACCGCAATTTTGGCATTTCTTTTTCCAGTTGTGTAACCTAGCATTTGAATCCACGAGCTAGAGTAACATATACTTTGTAGTCCAGCAGAATTTTAAAGGGGTTGATTGGGGTGTCAGAAGGAACGAAATAAATATAAATCGATTGTGTTGGTGAAGTTCATTTATCACATAAAACAGTGTTTACAATATTTTTAAAGGTGCAGAACTAACGTGGTGTACATACTATATATATATATATATATATATATATATATATATATATATATATATATATATATATATATATATATATATATATATATATATATATATATATATATATATATATATATGCAAATAAATCACTGTAGGTGCGCGTGATCCAGGTATATGCTGACAACCACAAAGAAAAAGAAAACACGAAGTTCCCAAGCGCTTTCGTGTAATTTACATCTTCAGGGGTGAGTACAAACTAAGTAGAAGTGCCGAACAAGTTATATATATATATATATATATATATATATATATATATATATATATATATATATATATATATATATATATATGTGTTTTACGTGCTTTGAGAATTTGCAGCCCGGAATTCATTGATGAGGAATATAAATATATCTATAATATTGGCTCAAACCTTAAATACCCTAGATCTTTCATAGACAAATGCCTGAACATTACTAAGAAATCTTTTTATAGAACTGATCCCAAGCCCACCCATGACCATAAGAATCTCTTAGTATTACCATTTCACAAAAATTTCTCTCAAATTCCTTTACAACTAAAAACCTGGAACGTCAATGTGGCATTTAAAAACTCATGCACTGTTAAACAAATGTTAATCAAGAACTCCCCCAACAATACAAATGGCTGCATTTATAAAGTCCCTTGCAAGGAATGTAATATGTTTTACTTAGGCCAGACAGGTAAAGATCTTGTAACTAGACTTAAACAACATAAATATAGTGTTAGGACAGGCCAGGAATCCAATGCTCTTGTTTGTTCATTTGAGGGATAATAAACATTGCATTGACTGGGATAATGCCTCCTCAATATTACCTTGTAATTCAATTGACAGTAGGAACATTATAGAATCTAGTCTCATTAAACATACCGAATCCGTTAACATGAATTTGAGTAATGGTATGTACAAATTGGACAATTTTGTAATTAAGAAGATTTGTAACCAGGTGAGAAGGTTGGGTCAGTTTTTCCCTCTGACCTGACTACCGACCGCTGCGGTGCTTTGTGAAGATTAGTAGGGTCATTACCTATACTACCTCTGTGGACTTGATCTCACCCTCCTCTGTATATATATATATATATATATATATATATATATATATATATATATATATATATATATATATATATATATATATATATATATATATATATATATATATATATATATATATATATATATCTTTAATGTAGATCCACATTGAAAACGTGGATAAGATAAATCTTGATAAAATCACACAGGGAAAAGGGAAACAATGGAGCACCTTAGCTTTGGTCTTTATTCAAGACGTCTTCAGAGGCCTCTGAAGATGTCTGTGAATAAAGACTAAAGCTAAGGTGCTCCATTGTTTCCCTTTTCCCTGTGTGATTTTATCAATATATATATATATATATATATATATATATATATATATATATATATATATATATATATATATATATATATATATATATATATATATATATATATATATATATATATTAAAGCAATCTTCAATTATTTTATCATGTCTAACAAAACCTTCCATAACGCTCCCAAGACCTCCAGTAGTGCTGATTTATAATTCTACAGTGTAAATGCTGTAGGTGAGAAGGAGATGGATGAACGTTAACTCTTGTCACGACGGGATCGACGTCCTTGGCGGGGCAGTTGGTGAATATTAAGTTCACTCGGGAGTCCATAAACAGGCTGAGATGGTAGGTATAAAGGCAGCACTGTTAAGCTCACCACATGAGTAATTCTTGTGGTAACTCCAGGTGTTATGTTGGCAGTGTACTGTCTACTCTTCTTACCTATTTAAGCCTTGTAGGTTTTGAACCTCGAGGTACAATGGTTGTGGTCTGTGGTCAGCTTGATAATGTAGTGGGCGTTGTTGTAGTGGTTGTTCCCTGTTTTGTTGTAATTGTACGTTGTGTTGTGGTTGTACTCTGTGATGATGTAGTGGTTATTCTCTATATTATAGTAACTGTATTCTGTTATTGGGATTGGTTTCGAAAAGTGGTTGTACTCTATAATTTGGAGGTTGTACTCTATGGTTTAGAAGTGGTTGATGTAGTAGTGGTTGTACTCTATAGTTTAGTATTGGTTGATGTAATAGTGGTTGATGTAGTAGTGGTTATGTAGTAGTGGTTGATGTAGTAGTTGTTGATGTAGTAGTGGTTGATGTAGTAGTGGTTGATGTAGTAGTGGTTGATGTAGTAGTTGTTTATGGAAGAGTGGTTGTTGAACTAGTCGTTGTTGTACTAGTCGTTGATGTAGTAGTTGTTGATGTAGTAGTTGTTGATGTAGTAGTTGTTGATGTAGTAGTTGTTGATGTAGTAGTTGTTGATGTAGTAGTGGTTGATGTAGTAGTTGTTGATGTAGTAGTTGTTGATGTAGTAGTGGTTGATGTAGTAGTTGTTGATGTAGTAGTTGTTGATGTAGTAGTTGTTGATGTAGTAGTTGATGTAGTAGTTGTTGATGTAGTAGTTGTTGATGTAGTAGTGGTTGATGTAGTAGTTGTTGATGTAGTAGTTGTTGATGTAGTAGTTGTTGATGTAGTAGTTGATGTAGTAGTTGTTGATGTAGTAGTTGTTGATGTAGTAGTTGTTGATGTAGTAGTGGTTGATGTAGTAGTTGTTGATGTAGTAGTTGTTGATGTAGTAGTTGTTGATGTAGTAGTTGATGTAGTAGTTGTTGATGTAGTAGTTGTTGATGTAGTAGTTGATGTAGTAGTTGTTGATGTAGTAGTTGTTGATGTAGTAGTGGTTGATATAGGAGTGGTTGATGTCGTAGTGGTTGATGTAGTAGTGGTTGATGTAGTAGTTGTTGATGTAGTAGTTGTTGATGTAGTAGTGGTTGATGTAGTAGTTGTTGATGTAGTAGTGGTTGATGTAGTAGTGGTTGATAAAGGAGTGGTTGATGTAGTAGTGGTTGATGTAGTAGTGGTTGATGTAGTAGTGGTTGATAAAGGAGTGGTTGATGTAGTAGTGGTTGATATAGGAGTGGTTGATGTAATAGTGGTTGATGTAGTAGTGGTTTTACTCTGTGTTGTACCAGTGGTTGTACTCTGCGTTGTACCAGTGGTTGTACTCTGTGTTGTACCAGTGGTTGTACTCTGTGTTGTACCAGTGGTTGTACTCTGTGTTGTACCAGTGGCTTTACTCTGTGTTGTACCAGTGGTTGTACTCTGTGTTGTACCAGTGGTTGTACTCTGTGTTGTACCAGTGGCTTTACTCTGTGTTGTACCAGTGATTGTACTCTGTGTTGTACCAGTGGTTGTACTCTGTGTTGTACTCTGTGTTGTACCAGTGGTTGTACTCTGTGTTGTACCAGTGGTTGTACTCTGTGTTGTACCAGTGGCTTTACTCTGTGTTGTACCAGTGATTGTACTCTGTGTTGTACCAGTGGTTGTACTCTGTGTTGTACCAGTGGTTGTACTCTGTGTTGTACCAGTGGTTTTACTCTGTGTTGTACCAGTGGTTGCACTCTGTGTGGTGATAGTGGTTTTCGTTTTCTCTGAAATAATAATAATAACGAAAAATTAATATGTAGAAGCATCAGTGATTGGAGATTCAATAAACTTATTACAGTAACATTTAATTGACAGAAAAGATCAATATATCCTGTTATCCTGAGAGACAGATTTGTTTAATATATCCTATTATCCTGAGAGACATTTTTTGTTGAATATATCCTTGTTAGCCTGAGAGACAAATTTGTCGAATATATCCTGTTATCCTGAGAGACAATTTTTTTTAATATATCCTGTTATCCAGAGAGACAGATTTGTTAAATATATCTTGTTATCCTGAGAGACAAATGTTTTGAAGAGAAACAGAGATTATCCAAAACATCATCTAGTTACAGTATGTCTAAATTTTGAATGTGAAGCAATCATTCATCCATTATCCGGAACACACAGTATTCGAAAGTCAATGCGATCATGAATTTGGGGAAATATTTACAGCTGAACACTTCAATTAATATATCTGTTTACCTGTAGGAGCCTTAGTATATATTTATGAATTAATTTAAGCTTTCAAGTAGCTCCCCTACGTCAACCCAATCAACTTTTTTCTTTTTGTTTCTACCCATCCTCATCTTCATCCTGTTTTTGGCGATTGTATCGTTTCATGAAAACCAAACGCGTTATCTTCACAACAATGCCAGTCTGCAGCACACTTTATGTAGTTTTCCAGTGGCATTTAATAACAATAGTTTTCCACTAAACTCCCCAAGGTTTGCATAACATCCTAGCATAAAGAAATTATTTATGGTTCTTACTCTTCCAGATCTCACAGGTGACTGGTGAGTTATTGAATTGTCATCAACAAATATTCCGAGATTACATTTTCAGTTAGTAAAGTAAAATATCAGTCACCACGACATATTGCTTCCCCCTTAAAATAGAAAGATTTCTTAATGATTCTTTTATATTATAACTTTAATGACGGCATCTCCTGTTGTAAAACCTCCATTATGCTCACTGTTGTATTTTTAATTAACCACCATACCTAATAAAGATCAATTCCTTATTAAATGAATTTTCATATTAATATGTCTTACTTCACCACAGTCAGCCAGGAAACAGTGACAATAATCACCTCAAATTTACCATTCACATGTCTCTCGTTACTTGAGAATTCCTCATTTAATTTAAAAGGTGATTTTAGCGCCTCAGATTTACATTGATATTGTTCGTGGAACGTGTGTATGTGTGTGTGTGTGTGTGTGTGTGTGTGTGTGTGTGTGTGTGTGTGTGTGTGTGTGTGTGAGAAGAGAGCGTTTAATGTATAACAACTACACGTTATAAGTTGTCAATGTATATTTTTTCCTCGGGTAGTAGGTAGCAGGCAGCTATCAAACAGGGAGGTACTACCGCCTGGGAAGATATTGGAAGCATAATGTGTTGTCTAGTGGTAGACCCTGCTGCCATATGGCATCACGAAAATTGTGACCAAGTCCCAGGTTGCTGATCTGACTTTCTGCCTCATTTACACACAATTGCTGGGTCTCAATTGTTTCTCTTATTTTGACAACACAACATACATAACGTATATCGTTTCTCATTCTTGATTTATTTTTTCGTTTTTGTTTATTTATTTGTGGTTATTATTATTATTTTTAGTATTTTGTTATTCATTTTTATGAATTATTATTATAATAATATTGATAATAAAAGTTATTATTATTATTATTATTATTATTATTATTATTATTATTATTATTATTATTATTATTATTATTATTATTATTATTATTATTATTATTATTATTATTATTATTATTATTATTATTATTATTATTATTATTATTATTATTATTATTATTATTATTATTATTATTATTATTATTATTATTATTATTATTATTATTATTATTATTATTATTATTATTATTATTATTATTATTATTATTGTTATTATTATTATTATTATCATCATCATCATCATCATCATCATCATCATCATCATCATCATCATCATCATCATCATCATCATCATCATCATCATCATCATCATCATCATCATTATTATTATTATCATATATTCACCCCCCCAGGCCCTGATGTAGGTCAGTGACCTGTGCCCGGGTGGGCTAATCCCCGTTAAAAAAAAAAATATATATATATAAAATTAATTTATTCTTTACACATACTTGCACTCTGGCTCTAACTAGAGTACTATACGAATTCTGAATCCATAAAATGACCCATCTCAACCCTGACTACAGGGTGTCATAAAATGTATACACACTTCCTATCTGATTTTCGTGGCGATTGCGTTAATGTTTGCATTCCTTTTTTTTGAGACCCCCTGTGTTGTGCTGCATAAGATATAGCAGTAATTCTTATTGTTGACAGATTACAAAAAGAAGTTATTACCTTATTTTTTATATTGATTTATTCTATAAAGACCCGCCATGAGGTATATATTAACCGTAAATTTAGTTATATGGCAAGAAGAGCATATAGATGATAGTTACTTTACTAAAAATTGAGAAATCATTCATCAGTACACAATGTGTGTAGAAGAAAATTGTCCTAATTTGTTATTCTTTTTTCAAACGAGGAATTTGCTTCACTTACCGTGGACGCAGCAAACGCATTTCTTGCAGGAGTCTTCACACCCCTGACCTAACACAGGGTGGAGATAATTCTTACTTTTGCAAAACTTCTTCAGCGTACAAGTTCCTTTGATACTATGGCACTTCTGCGTTGTCTCCGCACACAGTTTATGAGGCACACAACACTTGCATCTCTTCTTGCATTTGCCTTTCTTCAATTCGCCGTGACCACACTTCGACTTACACGTTCCACAGCTTTTAGTACACTTTTTGACTGGTTTACATGAAGCTGCATGTGAAGGAAAAAAGAGGAGGAATGATTGAGTAAATTATGAAAAAGACGACAGGACCTGATTACATTAGTCTGGGTAACCTTCGTGTTGCGCATATTGTTATTAAAACTACCTTGAAAGTGTCGAATAAAATTACTCTGTAGTATATAATATTTCAAACTAAACTCATGTGTGTATTTCCATATTCACCTTTATTTTATTCTGCAAACCTAACCAAATTTGCCTTATAACCTAACTGGTATAATATAAAGGGAAAATTGTGATTGGGTGAATTAGAAGAAAAAAATTACAAATCGGGACCAGTTGATAAAGACAACGTAATGAATTAAAAAAGGTAATTTTCTCGTTATTCTACTTTCGTTCTTCCGGCATGTTGAGAGCAGCTGCAGGCGGACGGGAAGTAACTGACATATGTCTCAATATAAACTATATATTTTTTGCATGTATAGACTATGTTATGTAGTATGTATTTTGGTATTGTGTATGGTGTTTTATGGATGAATTTTACCTAAGTTTAAAATGTGTCAGTTATTTCTCGCCTTCCTTGAGCCAAGCGTGCTTCAGACAATAACACGGAAATAACATATTGAGTGACTTTACCTTTACAACAGCCATAGCCCTTACAGGCACACTGCTTCGACACCCACTTGCCAGCACAATGCTTTTTTAAAGTGCAGGTTCCCTTCTTGCACTTTACGTCACACGGCGGCGCGGGAGTGGTGCTGATCGGTGAGGGGTGAGGAACACAGCACTTGCATCCAACGCCCTCACATTCATCACTTAGTACGCCACTACAATGTTCCCAGTCACTGATACACTTCCCGCCTTTGTGCCAGCAGGAATTCATGATCTTGCAGTCGGGGGCGCAGCACTTGCAGGAGGCTGTTGCACACTTACCAAAAAGCTCTCGATCTGTCTTCCTACAACTTGTCTCGCAGTGACCGGAATATGCGCCACAGGCGGACGTAGCCGCACATTGGTTATCATCCTTATCTGCAGGGAGCAACACATTAAGTTTATCCGAAGTTACTTTCTTATAATAGATAGATAGATAGATAGATAGATAATCGGTATTAATGGTCACACTTTATTTTTCATCAGTTTGTTTATTTTACTGGTTATCGGTTCATATGTATTTTCATTAATTAGTATTTTTCCTACTATGAATGATATCTATTTTTGTTACATAATTTAATATATTAATACATATTTACTTATTTAATTTTTTTTTCCATTTCAATTTTATCTAATAACTTTATACACTATTTAGAGTGTCGACCATCCTTGTATGGTCCTACTGTCCACAACACCCTGAGGTCAACCTTCCTTGTATGGTTAAAACAGCCCAGTATATAAGGAGACTCACCTTTACAACAGGTACAGGGAGCGCAAGACTTCTCATCAGTATGGAACACACTTATCCTCTTGCACTTCGCGGATCGGCCATGCGCACAGATACCTCCAGCAGTAGCACACAAAGTTATCGTTTTCTTGCAGAACTTCTTAATTTTGGCCATTGAAGAATTATTGTCTTCCTCTTCCTTGTTTGGCTTCTTCTTGTTTGTTTTGTTTCCTGATTTGGTTGTGGCGGCTGAGACGTTCTTACGGTTTCCGTCTTTCTTTTTTTTTTTCTTTTTTTTTTTGTTTCCTGATTCTGGCCTCTTTATCTTTTTTCCTGCGCTTCCTTGTTTTTCATCTGGTCTTGGTCTCTTTCGCATCATTTTCTTTTCTTCCTTTGATTTTTGGCTTGGCTTCCTTTCTCTGTTCCTCTTTTTCTCTTCCTTTGATTGCAGTTTCCTCTTGTCTTCAGTTTTAACATTCTTCCCTCTTCCATCGTTTGGCCGTGTCAATCTTTCTGATTTTGAAGTCTTTTCGCTATCATTTTTTTTCTCCTTACCTAGCTTTCCCCGGCCACGATTTACTTTGTTGTTCAGTGTCTTCGTGTCTTGCATCCTCCTCTCTTGGGTCTTGGGCTTAGTATTCTGTCTCGAGCTCTTTCCACCTGTCCAAAACAACAGCACATTAGAAAAAGTTGTTTTATTATTCTTTTATGCTATATGTTATCTTCAGTGAATGTTTATAAATATTTTTCATTTATGTAGTAAATTTGATCCAACAAAATCAACATGAATTTAATGATAGTTGTAAACACTAAGACGTCACAGCTACGAGATGGAATGTGAATCAGTAAATTGTCGTCTACGCTAGTTTAGATAACGAGAGCTGAGGTGGGGTTGAGGGGGTATAAACACACTCGTTTCGGGCACAATTACAAGTTGATGTACAAGCCAAAGGCCCAAATATTCATCTCTTACCAGTAACCATTGTCTGCAGTCACCACTTTTCCTCGCCATTACCTAAAAGTTAGTTTATTCCCTAATACGAGAACTATTATCTAACGTTTCTAAGAGACGATGAACTGTGTACGGTTAAGCTGTGTTGGAGATGGTATTTGGAGGTTGTCTTAAGTTTGGAAATTACATATACAGTAGCAGTGAATTCTTTAGAGAAATGTTACTTGTCAAACAATCGTCTATCCTTTTGTCTCTTCACTTACCTATCAGACAACAGACGGCCCTGTCATCACAGTCGTGTCTATTCATCACTCGGAGGCACTTCTTGGCACCCTCCTTGAGACACTCGCCTCCTGCTGCCTCACAGTCGGTGCCCGAGGCTCTCTGTCTCTGGAGATACAACGTTGTTTAGTCACATGTGGAGGAAGACCATTATTATAACTTCACCCTAGTATGGTAGTAACCGTGTTGTCACATCGATAATATTAACTGTTGTGCCTCACAGGTAACACCAAATTTTGGAAATTATTAATTGTACTGTATTTGTATAGCCTATTAGTGTTCAGTGTCTTTAAAAATCGTAAAATAACATCATGTCTCTACGGTATTATTAATAAGTACAAGAAGTTATGCAATTATCCTCATTAATATCAACACACACACACACACACACAATATATATATATATATATATATATATATATATATATATATATATATATATATATATATATATATATATATATATATTTATACTAGCAGAATCGCAGCCCTCCGGAGCGGCTCATCCGCTAGGCCACGGTAGGACGCCACCCTTCGGGAGGCTCCACATTTCTCAATGTTCAGTCCCTAAAACTTCTTCTTCCATCAATAGTTCATTAACGGTGTATGTAAGTTCCACCATGTTTTTCACTACAACGGTACAGCAAAGTATATTTTTTTAGCATTAAACTGTTATTATTTTAATGTCTAATCATCACTACATATAACACCAGCCATCTTCACTACATATAACACCATCCATCATCACTACATATAACACCATCTATCATCACTACATATAACAACATCCATCATCACTACATATAACACCAGCCATCTTCACTACATATAACACCATCCATCATCACTACATATAACATCATCCATCATCACTACATATAACACCATCCATCATCAATACAGATCGGTAAAGTAGTTTCCGAGATTCTCGTGCGGACACACACACACAAACACACACACAAATATACAAACAGACATACTTCTTTGCTATATATATATATATATATATATATATATATATATATATATATATATATATATATATATATATATATATATATATATATATATATATATATATATATATATATATATATATATATATATATATATATATATATATATATATATATATATATATATATATATATATATATATATATATATATATATATATATATATATATATATATATATATATATATATATATATATATATATATATATATATATATGTAATAGGTCCCTGTCTCATCAACAGAACATATTATATAGATGGGTCAATACATCTGAGATTATATTCAGATTCACCCCCTGTAACTTTCCACTGTCTATGAGTAAGACATGAGTTGGACACGTGAGCGGGCAGCTCTCCCAAGAGGGCGAGACCCATAGGTCAGCATTTCTGTAAACCCGCACTGCGAGGTCGTCACAGTCAGTAGCTCACCTCAACTTATATCGTAAGGACGTGACCTAGCGTTTATAATACATAAACGCCGTCCCCTTCTCATTCACTCCTAGACAGTGAGACTTACGGTTGATCTACACTCAGGAATTATATACAACCTTTTATTATAAAACAAAGGAACTACCGTTTAGGTTTCGTTACTTAAAACCCAAATATAAATATATGTGAATGGACTGGTTAATTGCACAAGCAGCCGATTCATATATATATATATATATATATATATATATATATATATATATATATATATATATATATATATATATATATATATATATATATATATATATATATATATATATATATATATATGTAACGTGTCGTGTCGGGTTCTACAAAACAAATCAAACATTCGTTATTCCAAACAATTCGCGCGAGGAACTTAAGACTCAGACAGTGAACTTATAATAAGCCTATCATTACGGTCATCTTGGCGAAGAGGCTACTCTTATCAGTGCCGAGTTACGTCGGAAATTGGGTGAAAATATTATCTTTATAAGTTTGAGTGAAACGCCTAACTGTTAAATAACAGTTGTTTTAAGCCGCCAATCAAGGGAGATTAGTGTGGAAAGTAGAGCAGTTAACCAGACATATCCATTAGTGGTGACCGTGAGACACCCACCATGTAATATGGTGAAGGAACACAAAGACCACCTCACAGTAGTATATAAAAGACGCGCGGGAATAGTGAATAAGAGAAAATTAGTGAGCTGGTAATTAGTGTTTCACAGGTCACCACGATCCACTGGTTTATCAAGTTGTGAACTTTTCATGTATTACAATAACGCTCACACAATACGTATAGGAACCTATGAGTATGTACAACATTCTAGTCTTTACGACTAAGGAGGCTATGGTGGACGAGGTCCACCTCGCAGAGAAACTAACTCCAACCAGCGACCATTACATACTAAGATGGAATACAATCTTTGATAGTCGAGAGAAAGTAGTTGAGTAGGAATACTGTGACTTCAACCATGGTGATTACCAGCTCAAGAGAGACAAACTAAAGAGAATTAACCGAGAGGAAATCGTTAGAGAAGAGTCAAACATACACGAATCAATGAAAGACTTTATGGAAATACTTGATTTAACAAAACTATACATAAATATCAATAGTTTCATTTAGAGGGACATTCGTTAACAATGATTTTTCGTCAAATGAGACCACAGATACAGAATGGATAATAATAGCAATATTAACATGGCTGAGCCAGTTGAGAACCTGAGCTCTCTTTGAGGCACCTGATATATACTATACAATTATCTCAAGGAAGTATTATGTAAACATTTAGTATCATCTGGAATAGTACAATAGCATGGTGGTAATAAGAACATCTCATAATTTTACCACGGTTATCACTTCAATATTTATTTATTTTATTTATTTATTATTCTTATTTTTTATTTATTTATTTATTTATTTATTTTTTATATATACATACATATACACATACATATACATATATATACATATATATATATATATATATATATATATATATATATATATATATATATATATATATATATATATATATATATATATATATATATATATATATATATATATATATATATATATGTATATATACATATAAATTACAGTGGAATTGAAAAACATAAGTATAATGGGGGAGCAGTACAACATGGGTTGTACAGTATTAAGGTTGAACAAGAGGACAGAGCTGTCAGGATTATGTCTAGTTGACAATTATGTTTATTGCAACGGTAATTACAAATTTATTTACATGATAATTTTCGATAAAAGGATTTTCATAGTACAATAAAAGCAGGTACTGTAAATATAGTAAGTGTTACAAGAAATATTAATACTTTGACAATAGATATTTTTTAAGAGATGATTTAAAGGAAGGGAGCGTAGTCTTTGCTCTGATGGATGGGGTTAAGTTGTTCCACACCTTCACACCATGATATTTTATGGAGGTCTGGGACTGAAAGGAGCGCATGGGGGGTGGTCTTAGTAGCTCTGGGTGCCTTAAGTTGTATCTCTGATTATTCCGGAACTGGAAATAATTATTGTCAAGCAAGTGATTGGTGGATTTTTAAACAAAGAGGGCACAGCAGTAGGTGTTAATATCTTCGAATTTTAAAATTTTCAATATAGCAAATTTTTCGTTTGTGAGATATTTTTTTTCAAGTTGGTCATTGTCCGTACAACTCTGTTTTGTGCCGTAAACAGAGACTGTGTTTTCGAAGAGCCAGGGGCCCCCCCATAGTGTGTGACAGTGTGTCAGGTGTTGGTAAACAAGATCATGATAGATTTCTTTCATTGCTTTGAGAGTGAGTGACTGTCGAGTGTGATACATGATACCGCACTGTTTATTGATTTTACGATGAATGGCTTGTATGTGGTTTCTCCAGTTTAGTTTCTCATCAACAATAACTCCAAAGAATTTAGTATTTTGTTCGCGTTTGAGGACTATATTACCAAGGTACAGAGGGTCCAAGTCTGAGGGTAAGTTTTTCCTTCTGTGAAAGATCGTTTAGTGGGTTTTCTCAAGGTTTAAGGTCAATTTATTACATATTACCCAGGTCCCGACTTTAGTTAATTCAGTGTTCATAGTTCTCATCAAGGTATGGAGGTCTGAGTTGCTGGCATAGAGATTAATATCGTCTGCAAATAAGTTGTATTTTATGAGTGAGCTGGCGTGGACTATGTCGTTTATGTACTACAAAAACAGTACTGGACCGAGAATGGAACCTTAGGGGACTCCATACAAGATTGGCGAGGAGTCAGATTGGTGGTTATTATAGCAGACATACTGCAACCTGTTTGACAGATATGAGGTAAACCAATTGTGGGACAGGCCCCTAACGCCGTAATGTTCAAGCTTTGAAAGGAGGATGGTATGGTCATCAAAGGAATTTAAGATGTCATTAGTATAGGATAGCAGAGCACTCTCAGTCGACCTTCTAGCTCTAAATAGAAACTGGGAGTCTGTAAAGATGTTATTGGCATTGCAGAAGGAATTTAGTCTACTACATGCTAGCTTCTCCAGTATCTTACTCAAGGCTGGGAGGACTGATATGGGGCGGTAATTCTTGAAGAGTCCCTTGTCCCCAGATTTTTTATATGCTTGGTGAACTTTAGCAATTTTCAGTTTATCCGAAAAGACACCACTACTGTAGTGAAGGAGGAGTTACAAATGTGTAGGAGAACAGGTAGCAATAAGTGGGCTACTTTCTTAATGATGCTCATTGGTATATTGTCTTCGCCTGCTGCTGCATATTAGGACATTTTTATGATGGCCAGTAATTCATCTGCTGTGACACGGGATAAGAATAGCTCATTTTGCTGTCTGTTTTGTAGGTAGGCTCTAAATTCCTCATGGTGATCAGGGATGCTCTCTGCAAGATTTTTGCCAACATTAATAGAATATTCATTGAAGTGGTTGGCAATGGAGGAGGGTTCCGTTATAACTGAATCATTTATCAAAAAAGCTGAGTGGGGGGCTGAAGGCTGAGTGTTCCTGTTCTGAATAGAATTTATGACATTCCAGGTTTTCTTACTGTCGCCTGATGCTGACTGGAGCTTATTTGTATAGTAGTTACGTCTGGCATTTGCAACTGCTTAAGTTACTCTATTTCTGATACTTCGGTAACCATCACCGAAAGTTATGGGTCATTTTGCAAATTTCCTTTGGAGTTTGTGTTTTTCCTTTATCATTATCTTAATTTCGCTTGTGATATAGGGTTTGGAAATGGATACAGTTTTCACTGACTCAGTATTGAGCGGGAAACATTAATTAAAGCAAGCATTGAAGATGCAAGAGAAGTTACAGCTGTTCACGTTAGGGTTGTTGGTGGCATAGACAAGATCCCAGTTAGCATTCTTTAGGTTGTTTTAAAAAAAGAGCATGCTGTCGGTGCAGTAGTCTCTGTATTGAATTGAGACTCTAATAGACCTTCCAGGTTTTGTGGCTGTTTTATACATGGCAAAAACTGGGAAGTGATCTGAGATATTGTTATAAATAATTCCACTTGCATGGTTGTTAGGAGTGTTGTTAGTCCAGGTATGATCTATCGCAGTGGCAGAGGTGGCAGTTACTCTAGTGGGTTTGGTTATAGTGTTGAAGAAGAGTTTAGAATGACAGGTAGCAAGAAGGTCTAATACTGAGGTGTCGGTTTCTGATTTTAATAGATCAAGGTTGAAATCTCCTGTAATGTAGCAGTCTTTTCTCTCTGAACTTATGATAGTGATAAGCTCCGAAAATATATCAAGAAAATTCCTTACATTCGTGTGGGGTCTTCTGTAGATTATTCCTACTAGGATATTTCATGTGTCGTTACGTAGTTCAATGAAAACGCTCCATGTAATCCTCCTGAACCTTAAAATCATCTCTTACAGAAGTGTTATACTTGATATCAACATATAGGGCGACACCACCAATGTGTCGTGACGTGTTGACGCAGTGTCTATTATAATTAGGAATGTTATTCAAATGGTCAATATCGTTAGTGAGTTTGGTCTCACAGAATCCAAGTACATCAAATTTCTGGGCAATAGAAGAAAAACACTGATCTAAAAAGGTATCTAGATGAATGGGAATACTGCTGATGTTATGGCTAATCAAGGAGAAGGAATGGGGTAGTAGGAGACTAGAACTAAACTCGGGGGAGTCAGGAAAGTAATAGTTACAGTTTGGGTTGGTGTAACCCAGTGAGTTTTGTAGAAAGACATCAGGATCGATATGAGGGAGTATTGTGTTGACACCATGGGTAAATGGGGTGTAACACATACGATCTAGCACATCTTAGGGAATGACACTAGCATCATCATTGTTGGGACATTGATACTGATTATGGAATAGTAAACACTCAGGGTCACTGAGGTGTGAAAAAGGAAGATCTAAGAACATTATGATAGTGGGGGGCGTACTCACAAGTGCTACAACCAACAGAATTAGGATGACCGGTACTGAGGGTGATTCCCAGATGGAGTGGGGGGTGCTCTTGTCACTCGGTTTTGAGGGCTGCTGGTTTCCACCACAGAGGGTAGACGTGTAGTACTTGAGTTTGCCGGCAGGGGGGGGGAAACTCCGCAGGTGATAGCGGGTGGGTATGTGGGCGGGTGTCCACTTGCCCAATCCCTCACAACAAGAGTTTTATGACTGAACGTCACGTGTTTCCCTTGTTTCCTGGCTTCTTTAAACTTGTCCATTTTCTGTAGACGGGCTTTAGTCGTACCTGGGCAGAGATCCTCGTTGACGAAGATAGTGGTGCCTTTCAGTTTACTGCGTTGATAAAACACTTTGTCACGGTCAGAGGGGGACGAGAATTTTGTTTTGATGTCGCGGGGGCGGGAGGAGTTGGATTTGCCGACGCGTTGAACACGGTCAAACTTTACTTCAGGAAGTTTAAAATGTTCATTCAGCAGGCGTGAAATTTTGCGTTGGAATGACTCCCAGTTCCCGTGCATGTCTTCAGGGATACTGGCAATCCTGAGGTTGTTTCGACGCCCCATGTCATCCACATAATCCACCCCGTCTGCTGTTATTGCTAGTTCCGTTTTGAGCTTGGAATTTTCCTCACTCAGCCATTGAACTTGGGTCTTGAGTGTTCGGTTCTCTTTAGCTTCGACGTTCAACATTGCTTTTAAGTCACTTATTTCCGCTTGCGAGAATTCCAAGCTTCTTTTAAAGTCACATAGCTGGTCAGTGAGACGCCGGTCAGCTTCTTCTAGCTTCCTGACGGTCACCTTATTCATTGGTTGTATGATGTCCTGGATGAGAGTCCGTTGGACTTCCATTATCACATCAGTCAGCTGTTGTTTCGTGAAATTTGAATTTTTGACACTAGCAGCCAACTTAGACATAATGGAGCTAGTAAGGGCTGAATAGCTGGCAGTGTGGAGACGATTGAGTTGTGGTCAGCTGGGTGGCTTGGTGGGACGGGGAGGGATTGTGTGGACGGTGGGGGTGGACAGGGCTCAGATTACAAGCCCTGGCACTGATAGGAGTTTGGTGGGCCTACAGCTCACGTGGTAGTCACAGATTCACAAATATATCTACTTAGGGGGATCACAGATAGATATTGTACTGGTCACGACACTCACTCGTCACTCACGAATCAGATTTCCTAGAAATCAGACTGGGTACTCCTGGAAAGACCCTGTTTTTCGACGAAAAACACGGAGCTCCCACACACACACACACTTTGCCCCCAAAATATGCAGTGAAGATAATACATCTACATGCTACCATTAATTTGTCAGTAGCACTTACGTTTCTACTGGTCAAAGTGTGATGGTGTGTCGTAGTGTGCTTTTCAATAATATGGTCGCGTGGCTGGTCTCACCGCTGTGGTCTCAGGTGTTGACTGTCGCCAGCATCCCCAACCCCCCCACATACACACACGCACATTATCATAAATACATTACCTTAGCCTGGATTACGGTGATGGCTACAGCCACACACACCACCAACAACTTGGTCGACTTCATATTGTGAGCGAGGATGTTACTCTTGGTATGTTGTGGTGCGGTAAGGCTCGCTGACGACTGCTGCCGCCCGACACACACTGAGGGTGACAGCTGAGTGTACCTGTCCTTACACCGTGCATACCCTTATATAGGGAGGCGACACCTGAACAGAGAAGGGCAGAGGGGTAATTAAGTCGCGGGAGTTGAGGCAGTTAGGGGGGGGGGTTGTGATAGAGGAGGGGTTAGTGAGAGATGATAATTACTCCTGACAGTCGACAGGTGGGAAGAATGGGTAACCACACACTGTCTCTCCACCACCACACGCATAACACCATACATAACTACCTATACTAACAGCCATAACAATATACTACTACTACTACTACTACTACTTTGCTGTCACTCGGAGTCGAGTAATCGAGTATGACAATCATCCAGCTATGATGCAATGATATGAGTTATTAAGGATGTCACCTAGGTTGGTGAGTTTTGAGGTGACTAAAGAGGCCGAAAGGGACCGGCAGAGTCGCTCAAATGCGTTGCACATGTGGAGGGCTACTTCGAGTACGGGAGGGGCGGTGGCAGCGTTTTTCCGGCGTTAGCGCTTGTCTGCCTCGGTTTGTAGTCGGGCTAACTCGAAAGTATTGATACCTTCTCGTGTGGTGCGTCTACAAGCGTTACGATGTGGACTAATCGAATTCCAGGTGAGGGTACTTTTTCAGGTTTGTCTTAAGACTATCCTTATACCTTTTCAGTTGCCCGCCAGCATTACGTTTATTATTCGTTAGGTGACTGTAAAGTAGCTGCTTTGGCAGTCTACTGCCATCCATGCGGGTAACATGGCCAGTCCAGCATAGTTGTTCATGGATAATGGTAGCCTCGATGCTTCTACAGTTGGTGTCAGCAAGAATACTGGCATTTGTTCTCTTATCTTTCCAGAGAACTCGGAGGATGACACATAAACTACGTTGGTGAAAGTTTTCAAGTGTCTTGAGGTGCCTCCTGTATGTGATCCATGTCTCACTGCCATATAGCAGGGTGGGGCGAACCACTACTCGATATACAGTACGTGTAACTTTGTAGATAATTTCAGCTCCCTACAGCTGAAAATACGGCTTCGGAGTCTGCCAAAGGCTTGAGATGCACATCTGATCCGATGCTGAATCTCTTCATCGATGTCCACGGTGGTGGACCGGTTTGAGCCAAGATACCGAAAGTTGGTAACATTAGAGAGAGTAGTACCGTTAAGCTGGATGGATGGTGGAGGTGTGGCTGAACCAGGTGCAGGTTGAAAGAGAATCTGAATCTTATGTACATTTACCTCAGGGCCGAAGTGTGCATACGCATTTGCGTATGTGTTCAGGATCTCCTGTAGGTCGTGTTTATTGAGAGCAACAAGAGTGAGGTCGTCTGCATACTGAAGTTCAGTAATGGAAGCTCCCGACACCTTTGTTCTTGCATGGATTCGTCTTATGTTGAAAAGACCCTTCATCCGGTACTGGATGTCCACCCCGCCAGCTAAATTGGCACTGGCATGAGTAAGGAAGGCAGCCAAGAAAATGGAAAAAAGAGTTGCTACCAGTACACACCCTTGTATAACCCCAGTTTGGATGGGGAAGAACTCAGACTGGGTGCCATTGTGCAGTAAAATGTCGTTCTTACCATCGTGGAGTTGCCTCACAATGGCGATGAGTTTTGGTGGGCAGCAAAACGGCTGAGGGTCCACTAGTCGTTCTTTTGATTGCGAAATTCCCGCTGGGCAGCCGCTTTCTTCTTGCGGAAGGTATCAGCTTTGGTCCTAGACTGAGGGTTGTTCTGCCAGTCAATTAAAGCAGCACGCTTATCATTGATGAGTACATTGATTGCCGGATCGCTTTCATCAAACCAGTCCTGGTGTATTCTTTCGATCTGGCCGAGGGTCTCTCTGCAGGTTTTTGTCATGACAGTGTCGAGAATATCCCATTCAGCACTGGGATTTGCATTGTTTGCTTTTGGGTTGTTTATCAGCCCCTGTTCGAGCTGCTTCCTGAAAGCATGTGCTACCGCTGGATCCTCCAGATGCTTAGTGTTAAAACCTCTTCTGGTGGCTTGTTGCCTTCGCCGTTTTGGGGCGACGAGAAGTGAGACCTTAGCTCTGACGAGCCGATGATCAATGTCACAGTGGTCTGAGCCATGCATGATTTGGGTGATGAGGACATCTCGGCGATCTCTTTCTCTGACAATGATGTTGTCAATGAGATGCCAGTGTTTGGATCGTGGATGTTGCCACGACCCCCTTGAACTTGTCAGCCTGCCTAAACAAGGTATTGGTGATAGTGAGGTTGTGTGCAGCACACTTGCTGAGGAGGAGTAGGCCTTTGGGATTACACTTGCCTAGTCCATTTCTCCCTATGCTTCCCTGCCAAATGTCAGCATCTCTGCCAACTCTGGCATTGAAGTCACCAAGGAGCACAACCTTATTTTCTCTGGGGATAGAGGCTAGAACTCTGTCGAGGTCGCAATAAAAGGCCTCCTTGATGTCATCTTCTGCATCCAGTGTTGGGGCGTATGCTCTGATGGAAAAGGCATGGCGTGAGTGATTCAGTGGGACTCGGAGCGTCACGAGGCGCTCTTTGATCCCAATAGACATTTCAGTAAGCCTGTGTAGGATGCATTGGCCAATTCCATAAATGCGGTTTCTCTCCGTAGCAGGCTTACCCTTCCAGAAGAAGGTATAGCCAAACCCCCGTTCTGTAAGTTGACGTTCATCTGGGAGCCGGGACTCACTAATGGCTGCTATGTCGATGTTATACCCAGCCAGCTCTTTTGCCACAAGGGCGGTTCTTCTTTCAGGACGGTCATTTGTGCCAGTGCACAGAAGGGTCCTGCCATTCCTTGTAGCGACCATAAGAGTTTGTATATTTAGTTTATGTTGGGATCTGTGAATTTGATTGTGTTTTCGACCACATAAGGATGACCTTACTGGGTGTGGTTGCCCAGTCAGGTTGTTTTTTTTAGGTAGGCTATGTTCAGGGCACCTTTTATAGCTCCCTCCCTATGTGGGGTGAGCAGAGTGGCTCCTCGAAAGGGCTGCTCAGTCGCACAGACAGGACAGGATTGACCTACTGCCTAGATACCAGTGCATAAACGACCATCTTATCTGTGTCGCCCTTGTGCAGAGTTGTGACTATAGACTTCTGATAGTCATCTCTGCTTGTCCCCGTCGCCACTCGTCTGTCGGCCAAAGGACTTTTGGAACTATAGGGGTATTGATGATGATGGGAAATATGATGAGCTGCATGATGGCTGGGCGTGAGTTGATTTATGTGGTGAGGCTGTAGCTCAGGCTGCAACCACACATCTTGGCTCTCCCTTTTCCTGATCCAGTGGTGCAAGTGTTGCAACGACTGGGGAGAGGGAGAGTTGCAATGTACTGCTGATAGCCCAGTTTGTTGGGTTTCGCTTTAGTAGCCTGTCCATCAGGCCTTCATCCGCCGGTGTAGTCGTTGGGTTCCCATGGTGGTCACCTCTTCTGCCTATACCGCCGTTGGGGTCTTGTTGGAGCCCTGCAAGCATGTCTGCCTGATGCAGGGATCCACTGCAGATATACCAAGGTTAATCTGCAAGGCAGCGGGACAATGGTTGGTAGGCGCCAGGACGTGTCCACATGCCAGTTGGCCTATGCCCCGTCTCTCTGGGGCCTACTGCTACTGCTAGATGCCCTGCTGGTCTAGCCTGGGCCCAAGAGGCACCCATTTACCGTGTGTTGCCACGAGGAGGCACAGCAGGAGTTTTGAAGGTGAAGAGGCTATATACTGGCACGGGAAGACTTATGCAAGTTGCTTCCCTGTTCGCTAGCGGCGGTAGCTTTAAGCGAAATTGAGTAAGCAGTGTCTGAACCTTAACACTAACAAAATGCTGCCAACTAGTCGCATTTAACCACCCGGTGTGCAAACACACACACACACACCTATACTAACAACCACAACACTTTTCATAACTACCTATACTAACTAGCACAACACCACACATAACTACCTATACTAACAACCAAAACACTATACATAACTACCTGTGCTAACAACCACAACCACAACACCATACAAAGAATAGTAAGAAAATGCTATACTTTTGCCCAAGTAGATAAGAGTGAGGAGGTAGTACAGTCATAGACAGAGGCAGGGACAGACGGACAGACAGAGGCAGAGACAGACGGACAGACAGAGGCAGACAGACAGAGGCGGGTTTCACTGTCTGTTGTTTTTGTTTATCAGGTCTTTTATTCTTTTTTTGGTCTCTTATTTTGTTTGTTATTGTTACGAGTGTCCGCCATAAGTTTCTGTTCTTGGTATGAAATACGTTGGTTCGGATGGTGTGTGGTTAGCTCGAGCAGTCTCGCTCATATACTCATCCACACTGAATGATTCATCATTTAAGTATTAACTTTGTTTATTACATTGTGTATTTATTGCATTATATATATAAATATATATATATATATATATATATATATATATATATATATATATATATATATATATATATATATATATATATATATATATATATATATATGCAAGTAAATCACTGTAGGTGCGCGTGATCCAGGTATATGCTGATAACCACAAGGAAAAAAGAAGAAAACACGAAGTTCCCAAGCGCTTTCGTGTAATTCACATCTTCAGGGGTGAGTACAGACTAAGAAGAAGTACAGAACATGTTGTATATATACACAGAGGAGGGTAAGATCAAGTCCACAGTGGTCCGGTATAGGTAATGACCCTACTAATCTTAACAAAAGCACCGCAGCGGTAGGTAGTCAGGTCAGAGGGTAAGCTGCCCCAACCTTCTCACCTGGTTACAAATCTTCTTAATTACGAAATTGTCCAATTTGTACATACGCTTGAAATTTCTCCAGACATGCCTTAGTGAAAAAGTTATGCCTAGATCAATCCTCCCACAACGTGTTCTGAAGATGTCTGACCGCCCCTTTGATGATTTCCAATAAATAATCCCAAAGAAACATTTTGAAATAAAGAAAATTGAAGTGGATGAAGCTTTTCGTATTGTAAGACAAAAAAAGCGTGTTTTTAATATGACCATACTGAGTGATTGGAAAA